AGAGGGCTGGGGGTTCGAACCCATCATAACTCCTCGGAAGAAAGATGGGGCAATCTACTTCCATAGTGATACTGCTTCGGAAACTCAAGGAGGGGTTGCTATGAATCGGGTCCAACTTGACGACACACAACAACAACAATGAAGTCAACATGTGATGACAGAGTCATATTTTGTAATGCTAATTTTTTGCTTGTTTTAGAATTTTGTAGGGTTTAGATAAGCAAGGTAAAAGGGTTGCCGGATAACCTGAATTCCTTTTAAAATAATAATAAAAATAAACCTTTCCTGGGAAGTTCCTATCTGTGTTTCTTTTTCTTCTCATATTTCCTTAGAGCAAGCAAGCAAGCAAGCAGAAGCAGTTGAAATCAATTGCTGCTCATTCTTTTCAAAACAAGCAGAGCATGTAACCGCTGATTAGGTGGAAGACTTAAAGACAGGGCTTGTCTTCTCTTTCTTTTTTGCTCTCATCCACCGATATCATTAAGTACAGGACTGAAAGAGTTCCAGTATAGAAGAGAGAACGTGGTGTCATTATGTTTTGCTTAACAAAAGGGAGGTATTTACAGACTGATATGAACACCAGTGCTGTCACTTCTGCTTACTTAAAAAAAACAAAAACATCAGCTAAATGTGTTTCCTCTTCTTATTTTCTGAGTTACTTACTACTGAAGTGGTGGTCCTATTTAGACCCCAAGAATGAAGAGGTAACAGAAATGAATAGAGCATAGGTAGAAAACACTGACTAGATGAAGGAATATCAATTTCATAAAATTTTTCTACATAGTCAGTGTTAGAAAAACTATGTATTGTAAATTTGTAAGTGATATTTGTGGTATTTTAAAACATATGGACTAATAAAAACAAATTTTAATATAAAGTAACATTAACTACAACCAACCTAAATTTTATTTAATATAATCCCTACAATAATTTTATATCTATATATAAATAATTGAGGGAGGCAGAGCTGATGTTATCTAGACATAAGTACATACATATAGATCTCCACTCTTGAGATATGAAATCTTCTCTATCCTCATAAATCACACTTTTTTTCTGAAAAATTTATAGAGAATAGTCACCTTCTATCAGTCTCTTGGGATAAACTGAAGAAAACCATGGACTACTTAATGATTCCCTGCCACTCAGATCATGTTAATACACAACATTTCAAAAGCATCCCAAGGGACATCTTCACAAATCATCAGAGAACTAACACACCCAGCAAGTTAATCTAATTTCTTGGGTTTTAGCCTATTTTCCCCTCCTAAATCTCATTTAATAATGAAGTATGAGATACAGAAAGTCCCCAGGTTACGAACGAGATCAGTTCCTAAGTATGTAGGTAAGTTGGAACAGGTCGATATGGTTAAAGCATTCAGCTTTAACCAAAAGGCTGGTGGTTCAAACTCACTAGACACTCCGGAGGAAGAAGATGAGGCAGTCTGCTTCTGTAAAGATTTGCAGCCTTGGAAACCCCATGGGGCAGTTCTACTCTGTGCTATAAGGTTGCTATGAGTTGGAATTGACTCAATGCCAGTGGCTTTGGATTTTTAGTGCAAAAAAAGGCTTGATGCCTTTTCAGTGATTTAAAAGCTGCACATAAGCAAGTGAAGATGATTGTGATAAAAAAATCTGTTGCGAGCCGGGGTTGGTTCAACTGTTTCAAAGTGAGAGCAAATGAACATAACATCAAAGGGCAAAGAGGAGAGTTGTCTGTAAGTCTGACATTTGTAACCCAAGGACTTATTGTATTGCTTCTTAAGCTTAATCAGAAAATTTTGAAATGAGGCATACTGCTCAGATTTTATGGTGGTGGTGGTGGTGTTGTTATGTGCCGTCGAGTCAGCCCCGACTCATAGCGACCCCTCCTTGGGTTTCAGAGGCAGTATCACTACGGAAGTAGATTGCCCAACCTTCCTTCTGAGGAGTGGTTGGTGGGTTTGCACTGCCAGCCTTCTGGTTAGCAGTCAAGTGCCTTAGGCACTACACCATCAGAGCTCCCTCTTTTCACCATACAGATCACCTATTACACTCTAGCTAAGCATTTTCCCTATTTTCAGGAATACTGTATTCAACAGAAACTCACACTTGAGTACTTTCACATTTCCATAAGATCAGAAAAAACTATCTACACTGATCAATCACTAAAAAAAGGCTATAGGCCCAGATGGTTTTAAAAATAAGTTCTACCTACAGAAAATTCCCATTTACTCATTATTCCAGACCAAAAAACAGATGGAAAATTTCCCAATTCATTCTGTCAAACTTGTCATAACCTCAGCTCCAAGTGTGATAAAACAGAATGAAAAGGAAAAATACAGCTAGATCCCACTAAAGAAAATAAAAATAAAAAGTATTTTTAGGTATAAATCCTTATATAGCAGTTGATGTTGCCAGTATTATTTATAGACACTTCACATTTAATCCTCCCAACAAGCCTTTAAGATGTGTACTATTAATATCCAAACTTTATAGAAGGGAAAACTGAAGCAGACAGAGTTAAGAAACTTCCTCAAGGTCACACAATTAGTAAGCAGTAAAGATAAAATCCAGACTTGGTAATCTGCTTCAAAACATTAAAGAATCAAATCTAGTCATGTATTAAATTTAAAAACATGTCATGATAAAGTAGAAATTATCTCAGGAATACAAAGACTGTTTAACATGTCAATATATTAATGAATAAAACAAGAAAAGACATGTCTATTAACAGAGGTTTAAAAAAAATAAAGTATATTATACATTTTTGATAAAATATTCTTAATCAAACAACCATGATAGACTATTTATCACAAAGCAATAATAAACATCATAGAAATATAGCAGCTCCATGAGGAATTATCTATTTAGTCCATTATTAGAGTCCCAGTGCATAGATCAATGCCTGGCACTTTGTAAGTACTCAAATACTTGCTATATTAAGTACAAAATAAAACCTTAAAGACATTCTCACTGTATTCATCTAGTATGCCTGCTGTGACTCTGTTATCACATATTATCTATGAAGTTCTACCAGCGCAGTACAACTGTAAGTATTGAAAAGAAAGAGAAGTTATATGAATTCCAAATCATGATTGTATGATTAGAAAATCCAACAGACCTAAGTAAAAAATATCAGAACAAATGTAAGAATTTAATAAGGTGAGTAGATAAAAGATAACTATACAAAATAATCACATTTTACTTTATAGTAACAATTAACCAGTTAAAATTTAATGGAAAAGAAAATAATGATTGTAAAATTTAAAGAAAAAAATTTAACTAGAAATAGATAAGATGTAAATTAAGAAAACTGTAACATTTCCTTGTCAGTAAAACCAGACTTATGGAACTTATTATTATGACTTATTAGAAAGCAAAATGAATTTATAATGAATGTAATGGTATATTGTTGAGAAACTGGACAAACTGTTGAAAGATGTATCTAGAAGAATAAATACACAAGGATTTACAAAAACATGTCTAAAAAGAACAAACAAGGAGGAAAGACTTTCCCTAACAGATAGTAAAACATACCATAAAATTGCCATGACGATGATACTACCACTACTATTAGCAGCTAACATGTATTTCTATGTTCTAGCCACTATCTAAGCACTTAATACATAATTTAATTCTCACAATGACCTTATGAGACTTGCCTTTTTATTATCCCTATTTTAGATGTGAAACTGAGATACCGCGAGTACTAAATACCCTGACCAAAGTAACATTCAAAATTGGCAATGGTCCACTATAGTGGGAAAGTAATTGGTGTATCATTTTGGAAAAGTAATTTGGTCATCTTTATTCATTCACTTAATACATATTTTTTGAATGGCTTATCTTTATCAAGTACTATTTTAGATACGGGGAACATGGGAATGAAAAAGGTAAAGAAGGTTCCCATCTTCATGAAACTTTCATCCTAAAATGGGGCAAAGACAACGAGCACAAAAAAAAAAAAGATGGTTTCACAGATTGGTAAGCATGTTAACAAGGAAGTAAAACTGGGTGATATGAAAGAAACAAACTGGAAGGGGGTTACTTTTTATGAATGTCCAAGAAGTTATCTCTGAAAAAATAAATTGAACACTGAGCTGAGAAGCGGATAGCTACACAACGAGCTAGAAGAATATTCCAGGCAGGCAGAGAAGTGAGCACAAAAGCCCTGCATTCGGACCAGGTCAGCGTGTTCAAAGATACAAAGAAGACCCAACATGCCTAGAGTAGACGAAGCAAGTATATGACAGAAAGTGAATGCTTTTTACAGGATCCCGTCATATATGATGTAGTAAAATAAAAATAACAAAAAAGGTGAGGGAGGGAGAACATACCCTTCAGCCTAGCAACACCACTTCCAGGACTAACACATACATGTAAAGCTATACACAGAAGAACGTTATTGTGATCTGTCCAAAGAAAATGACTGGAAAAACCAAACTGCTGGTCATTTGCGAAATAGCTGAACGTGTTAAGGCACACTATATAGCCACTGGAGGACCAACTGCATATGTACTGACTTGGAAAGGTGTCTTAGAGATACTATGTGGGCAACAAACAAACAGACAGACCGAGTACAGTTTTCTATAATGAGACTTCAGGAATTTTAACCCCTAAGTCGGATGCTGGATAAGTTACATACTATCCTCCTTCCTCTTTCTCTAATTCAGTCCCTGTCAGCAATTCACCTCACAGCCCATTGCTTGTATCTTTACCTGGGAACATGAGCAGCATCACAAAATTTTAAGAGGATACAAAAGAACACCATCTTCTTATAATTTGAAAGACAAACATTACATGCTTAATAACTTGGAAATAACAGAATCAGCTCTAGTAATTTAGAGTATCCATATAGCATCAGAAACATAAATCTATGTAACAATTAGAAATCACGTTATAATAAGCAAGGAAAGGCAACTGAATTTTTAGTTAAAGTAGCAAATATAAAAACGATGAGTTACATGTGAGGTCACCCTGAATCACAATCGACTTGATAGCAACCAACAAATTCTTACCTCCACTTTTGTGCGATAGAGAACAAGTCGTTTAAGGCCACATAATTTGGCAATGTGGTTGAAAGCTTGAGGTGGTAGTTTATCACAAGATGAGAGATTTAAGTCCTGTAGGTTTGGACACATTTCAGAAATAACCTCCAAACAAGTTTCATTAAGGAAGTGGCTGCAAGATAATTCAAGGCGTACTAATTCAGATCCGCAAACCTTCAGGAACCTAAAAAAAAAACAATGTTCTGTATGAATTTTATAACATTAGAAGATATTTTTTCAAGGATTTTGGAATTACATCAATTCTAAGAAGTTATTCTTAGAAAAATGGATTTCTATTAGAGAACATATGAAACTTATTTTGCTTAAATTCTCATTCATTGCATACTGAAATGTACATGGTTAGGCTAAAATAAATCAACATAAGAAGATAAATTAAGTAGTCACATCACTTAAAAAGTCAGCTAATGCTTCATCGAAAATTTATCTGAGGATGTATTACTTGTAACTCACATCTGAGTGGGTAAAGCCACAAACAAAATATAACAAAAATCTGTATATTCTTGGGAGATATTCTTCTCTTAACAATATCCATTCAGTATGAGATACTATATTTTGAACCCCACACACCAAATGACTGCTTTAAATTAAATGACCCCAAAACAAATCAGACCAGACATCTCTAGCTCAGAAAATTCTTGGGTGGCTTAACTGCATTGTTGCAATATGTTCCCTGTGTTACTAATTAGCAGTTAGACTGCTTGATGTTGAAATTATTATGAGATATTCAACTGTAGTTTCACATAAGATATATAGAGATAATCCAAGGTATAGGGCATGCACTGTAGTAAATTACTTAGTGTGGCTTTTCTACCCATAAGTCATTGTACTCAGTGGTGGAATGAGCAACTGAGGAGCTCCTGATTGTAAATGTTATCCACCTAGGTTATTTCTGGTGGGCGTGGCACAACACAATGTTATGGGAGGCTCACTCTTAGGTGCTTAGAATTCTGTTGTTATGATTGGTTGGTTTGGCCACTCTGCTGGACTCAAAAGGAAGGCCTCCTAGAGGCAGGACTCTCTCTGACTGCTGGTTGAGGAAGATGTGCTGCTAAAAGAGACACGTGCCCCTGAAAGAGACACGTGCTGCTGGGAAAGAGACGCAAGAGACATACATTGCTGAGTGAGACACCGAGGGACCAGCACTGCTGGGAAAGAGACTGTGAGAGACTGTTGGCTGAGGGACAGTAGGCTGGGAGAGAGGCTGAGCATTTTTCCTGAACTCGAATTGTAGCCTGTGGTGCTTCCCTAATAAAGCCCATAATCTGTGAACTCTATGTGGCCACTGCAGCGAGTTATCGAACCCAGGAGAAAGGTGGTGGGTGCTTTGTGAGGAACGGTTGGAGAAAGGGCTGGAGGGAGGCAGCATGTCTGGCCTCGCAGGAATAGGCCTTGGGTTACTGCTGGTAATCCTGTCTTCCTCTTGTGGGGTTCTAGGAGGTCAGAACATCTGGCCTCCCTGCCGTTTTAGCAGGGCACAAAATTCCTTATCAGAGTAGTAGTCACAGTATTTATTTTAGTTACATTACAGGTTGGGGTGGTGGGATATTACTATCCATAATTATTACTTGAAAAATAACTTAAAAGTAAATGTGAATCTATTAATAGTACAAAGAGTCCTGGTGATACAGTGGTTAAGTGCTCCAATGCTAACCAAAATGTTAGCAGTTTGAACCACCAGCCGCTCTGCAGGAGAAAATAGCTGGCAATCTGATTCCGTAAAGATTATAGCCTAGGAACCCTGTAAGGTTAGTTCTACTGTCATATGGGGTTGCTAGGAGTTGGAATTGACTCAATGGCACACAACAACAACAGTATTTGAGCCCATGAAGCTTTATTAACTGAAAAAATTGAACCCTTAAACAATGTACCAATTACTTCCATTTCTTTTGACATTTTCTTGCCTATCAGTGTCATCTATGTACTATACTGTTAGTTTATTTTTGCCACATCTTTTTCCTAAATGATTTAAAGAGCTTACAAATACAAATGCACTATAAAATCGACTCATCAGATCACTTTTATTTCAATAAAGTAAGTAGCACTGAATTATAAATCAAAGCTGTATTTTTTTTCCCCTATTCTACTATTTCCACACATGATTGTAGGAAAGGCATTTACTTAAATCTTAGTATTTCTTCAGCTGTGAAAGGCAGACTTGAAGGATGTAAAACCACTCACTATACCACCTCATGGTTTTAAATATCAAATAAGACGTGAAAGCAGTTTGTAAAGGCAAAAGCATTCCATGAACATTAAAACTACATGATAACCATCTCACATTCAATACAACAAGAAAATTTAGTGGCTACATAATTGAATTTTAAATACTATAACTACACCTACTCCTCAGTTATCAACTTGGTTAGGTTCCAAAGACCAGGTCATTATGTGAAAATTTGTGTTATGTGAAAATGGAGGATGACCACATCAGATCACAAAATGAAGGATGATTACATCATTACATAACTGCCAGATTTTATCATTGCATAACTGCCAACCCACTGAGAATCACAGACCAGACAAGTTGACACATTACCTTAACCATCACAGCCAGCATTACCCTCACCTTGCACCTCGGCTTCATTACTGCTGGACGTACGTTGTTAATGTGCAAAATTTATCAGATAGTAGATTTTTGTACTATGGTTGAAAATGTGAAATGTTGAATAAGACAATAGTCAACAGTAAGAATTTGGTTGTAACCTAGTAGCTACATCATCTTATTTACACTGAACGTCCATTCATCCATAACCAATTGCAATTTGTGTCCTGTTCTCCTTAAATTCACTGTTTCTTTTAAATGCCAAACTCAACGGCCTCTCATTTTAGCCACTCCTCGGAAGGAAGGTTGGGCAATCCTACTTCCGTAGTGATACTGCCTCGGAAACCCAAGGAGGGGTCGCTATGAGTCGGGGCCGACTCAACGGCACATAACAACAACAACAACAACATTCCTTGACTAGATGTTAGTCTAGAAGTTCCTCTGAAACCTGTTCAACATCCTAGTGACACGCAATACTCTACTCACAGGTGGGCAGTGGCTGCGCTTAAGGGGCACTGACCAGTAATCAAACCTGGGTCTCCCACATGGAAGGAGAATTCCACTACTGAACCACCACTTCCTCCCAAATAGAAAGTTTGAAAGTGAAAAACCACCGCTTTCTCCTAAATAGAAAGTTTTAAAGTGAAAAGTGCCAATGATAAGGGGAAAAAACAAAACAGAGAAGAACAAAAGTGTTGAGGGTAGATGGGGGTGGTTAGAGAAGCCTCACTAAAAAGGTGAATAAACCTGAATGAAGAAAGTAAGGGAGCGAGTGAAGCAGATAGCCAGAGGAAGAGCATTCCAGCAGGGCAAGCACATTAGCCCTGGGGCTGGTAACACATAGCAAAACCAAAAAAACCAAACTCACTACCACAGAGTCAATTCTGACCAAGAGTGACCCCCACTGGGTTTCTAAGGTGGGAAATCTTTATGGAAGTAGACGCTCCCATCTTCCTTCTGCAGCAGAACAGTTGGTGGGTTTGAACCACTAAACATTTGGTTAGCAGTCAACTGCCTTAGGCACTGTGCCACCAGAGCTCCTTGGTAACACAAAGAGTGAGGGACAAAATGGAGGAAACACAAAGTGAGGGGAAAATGAGTAGATCAAAGGAGTGGGCAGTTCATAGAATATATGTCACTATAAAGACTTTGACTGTTATTTTGAGGGAAACAGGATTCCCCATCACCAGAGGGTTTTGAGCAGGGGAGTGACCTGAACTCCCGAGTGTTACCAGGATCACTTCAGTTTCTGTTTGAAAAACAAACTGAAGAAGGAACAAAGATAACAACAGGTGACCAATAGGGCATCATTGCAATAATCAAGGAAGAGAGGATGGAGCATCGTGTCCAGGTGGTAGCAGTCGATGTGGTACAAAGTACTCAGATTCTGGATCTATTTCAGAAGTTGCTGTTGTTAGTTGCCATTGAGTTGCTTCCAACTCCTGGCAACCCCAGGTGTTACAGAGTAGAACTGCCCCATAGGGTTTTCCTGGTTGTAATCCTTCTGGAAGCAGATCACTTATCTTCTGTGATACCACTGGGTGGGTTTAAATTGCCAATCTTTAGGTCAGCAGTCAAACACAAACCATTTGTGCCACCTAGGTAGGCACGTATATGCTAAATTATGACATGCATAAGTTTGGCAATATTATATACTAAATTGTACTACAGCATCATTTAATTTTCAACCATTATTTTCCTTTTAGCCACAGTTTCCTTACTTGCTAATTTTTACACTGAGTTTTATAATGCAACGTAACGCAACCACTGCCATGGAGTCAGATCCGACTCATAGTGACCCCTCCTCGGGTTTCCGAGGTGTTATCACTATGGAAGTAGACTGCTCAACCTTCCTTCCAAGGAGTGGCTGGCGGGTTTGAATAAGCTATCTCAAACCCTTTGGTGACTTAAATACACTATTAATATACCCAGTCCTCAGCACAATGTCAGGCACACAACAAACATGTGATGAGACGTTGTTGAACGAATCTTACAATGATGATGTGTCACCTGATGGATTTCATTTTCCTCTATTACAGAAACCATTACGTTCTAGTAACTTGGGGATTTTTTTTTTGCCTAATAGGGCCAACAATATCCAAGAAATAAGACAAAATTCACATTTTTACCTAACTTGATGTATAAAAAGTAGCTGTAGGGAGTTCTTCATTCTTCATAAGCTAACAAACACGACAGAAATGAATATAGGGTTTCATGGTATTAAAGGGCATCCTATTTTTCAATATATCTAAAACTATTTGCAGATTATAAAAGTTAAATGAGGATATTAACTCTCTTATAATTAAACTCTTCAGGCATTTTATCACATTAAGGCCTTCATGATGTAGCAAAGCACTTGTTTTTACTTTTTGTGTTTTGTTTTTGATTATTTGAGCTTAGAATGCCTTGATATCCCTTTTTTCTTTGCTCTCATCATTGACTCTTCCCATTCAAGGAATTATAGAGTGTTATCCAATCAATAAATACAACGATCATGTTTATACTACCTTTCTGACTTTCTCTCAAAGATTCCTATGTTGCATGTTTCTACCCTGGACAGATAATTTGGTCAACATCCCCATACTATCTTCCTAAACATCTCCACCCCATGAAAGCAGAAGTAGCAGCAACTCAATTAGCTAGACTCAACTCTTGCTCCTTTTTAAAAATTCTCTTAAGTTTTTTTAAAATACATAAGTACATATATGTTTTTGTCTTTGTTACCTTTTTATTCATCTTAACTGTGATATCGGTCACTTAAAAGGAGAACAACAGCTTTTTCATTTCCTTCAGCCAATTCATTCCATGTAAATTCTCATAAAGTATTTCTTGATATTGAGGGTATTAGGAGAAGACCTAAGTTCACATAAACAATCCTAAACTAGGTCTCCTGCTATGAGAAAAGGAGTCTCTGGAGAGAGAAATAAATTGCTTACCCTTATGAGGTGAATTAATTTGTCCAGAGTAATACAAGTACCTAAGACGTAATTTACTAAATGGTAACTTGCACCCTAAAATAATTAACATCACATGAATGCACGATTTAATCTGAGTTTACTCATCACAAAATAAAAGGCACTAATCCTCATAACCTCCCTAATGTACAAAAGGTAAGGAGAGAATTAAGTATAAAGATCCATGCTTCTGACTTCTAATCTTTTGTTAGCTGACTCTCACTGAGCTTTATAAAAAGTATATTTAAAGTAATTTGAATCCCAAATAACTTAGAGCATTATTTAATATCTTTGATACAAAATAAAGCCATTAAAAATAACACTTCCTGCTTAGCTATGTGTGGTACTATCCAGTAACCATAAAAGGAAGGAGAAAGAAAGTTTTAAAATTATCTCTACTCTTTAGGAGCTGACAAGCTAAGAAAGACAACCGTATAAAACAAAGGCATACAACTGAATAAACAAACCTATGAATGGGCAATAGCTCTTTAGACCATAAACCGAAGCTCTGTGTGAAAACATCTACCAAACTCCTGGCATCTAGAATACGCAAGAACATTTTCTAAAGGAATGAAATCAACTTGATAGCAGTGGGTGGGTAACAACAAGTACAAGGGTTACAAGAAAAAACCCATTTATAATTAAGGTGGATGTCAAGGTGATTTTAGTTCAGGCAACTATTTGAAAAAAAAAAATGGTAGTGGGAAAATGAACCTGAGGCTTTTGGAACATCAGGATGATGTCATGAAGTCTCAAAGCACAAACAGGCAGGAAGGCAACGAGATATCTAAGACTTTAGGGAAAGGTATTAGAAAAGGAAAATGGAATTATAATAGATGTGATTTTAATGAGTAATGATATGCATGAGCAGTACTCGAAGTTGTAAATCACAAATCTGCAGACAGAATAGGATTTTAATAACTGATTAAAAGTTCCAAATTCTCATTATTCCAATTTAACCTATTTTCCTATTATTCTGAATACTACAAATTCCTAAAAATTCTTTAAAATCCAGTTAAACAGTTTCAACATGTGAGGATAAAGTCTTTAGGCAACAAAAATAAACTCTATCAAAGTTTTTCCCAGAGACTCGCTGAAAAAGCAGCTCATCATCATGGTCTCTAGTTTAAAAATGTATTTTTTTTTCCTTTAAAGGATTATAAATAAGTCTTCTTCACAGTAATGAGCATAAATAGACCATACTTATTCATAGATTATTCATTAATAATCAAGTTATGAATATTTATTGTTTATTCTGGGAATGCTGCCTACAAGCCATAATGACTATCAATTCAGCAGTCAAGTCAAGGGGGCCAACAGCAATCAGGAGGCAAAACTTCAATACTCCCCTTCCCTTAAAAAAGATTCTCTCTCCCTGTTAATTTAAACTTTTGCTTTTCTTAATGGGAACAGTGACTATGCTTAAAGGAATGCTATCAAGATTTATGGCTTTATTGGCTGAAATACATAGTAAAATATGGAAAACATAAATTTATATATGCACTTTTGTGATTATTCAAACAGCCTCACAGCAACTAACCTGGGTGAATTGATAATGGAACAGAAATTACTGATGAGAAAGCGTACTGAAACTCTAAACTTCCAAAGGATCTTTACCCATTATCAGTCTAAAATTTAAAACAGTATTATGAAGCTTTCCTCTCACAATTGATACTGTTTCTCATACACTAGAGTGAGCTACAAAGACTTTTAAAAAACTGAGTTAATATTACATTTATATTTTATTCATATCATGATCATATGCAGCACTTTACCAGAAGGCGGGCCTCACCCATTCACTATCAATGTTTTCTTTGCCATTCTGTTATTTTATTTATATAAATATATAAATGATATGTTAATGTATTTATATCTTTATTTTCTCTGTAACCTGAAGGCAGAAACCATATTATACATCACATATATCTCTTTTCACGGTCAACAACACCACAAAGGGTGAAAATGCACAAATCATAAGTTCCTAATAGTGAAAACATTGTGTGAAGAACTACAAGGGTAATTAAATACACTAACGGTCCTTATACTCTAGAAGACTGTTTACTGACACCAATTGTTCTACGTGTTCTCATATTCGGTTAGTCCTTATGATCAGTGTTATATGCTCTAAATACCAACAGTTCTCATTAGCTTCAGTTCTACCTTCTCCTATTAGAGGGAGGCAACATACAAATGAAGTGTGTGTGCTGTGGGCAGGAGGAAATAGGAAGGACTAAGCTGTGTTCCACTGAGGTCAAATGTCCAGCAATTTTTAAAATGTGGATTCTATAGAAATTTACACAGCTAAAAAGAAATGCCTGATTTTTTTTTTTAACCACAGAATCCTCTGTTAGCAAATTTACATACTCAAAAATGATTTCTTATCTATAACACATTATACAATTGTTTGACCTTTTGACCTACAATACCATAATGTTTTATCAAAGAACCCTTCCCTTAGCTTTATCTGGCAGAAAACAAATCCAATGCACTACAAGCCATTACTGCTTGTGTTTATGTTTTACTTTGATGTATAAACAATCAATGTTAGCATTTTGAACACAATGTTAATTTCAAACATTATTACTTCATCTGCATCTAATGGGACCAAACATTTATTTCTGGAACTGCAACTTTACTTCCGAAATGTGAGTCAAGAGGGAGTAAGGCTCAATATACAAATTTCTAATTCATAAACCACTGTCTGAGAATGTAGCCAACTGGGGATGTTTGTAGGGATACTTGTAATTCATTTTTAGATTTTAAAAACAGGGAAAAAGATTATTTACTAGTCAAATACCTAACAGTTAATTCTCCTTAAAGTTTCAACTCTTTCATTATTTAACTTAATGAAAATGATAGGATTATACTGTAATGTACAATGAGAATAATCTTGAAGGCTAAGGAAAAAACACCTGTTTGTATCATAAGAAAAATTACTATGGCATTACTAAATGAATATGCACTTGTGCAAGCTTTCAAATGTTTAACAGGTGACATTTAATAGTAAGGAAACTAAATGATTAAATAGAAAGGAGCAGAAACACCTGGGCAGGTCTGCAAGTGTGGTCGCCTATTTAGCATGCAATTGCATTTTCAACATAATTAGTTTAATTGAACTTCTAAATTTGGGTGATGTATTGCACATGTAATTAAGATTTAATTAAAAATGTTCTATAATAAATTGTTTTCCATTTCTGACAAATCACATTAGAGAGGTAGATTTGATTTGGAAATACTTTTTAAAATGTGTTAATCACTGTGCTGAAAATATGAGAAAGAAAAAAAGAATTCTGTTCAAAGTTCCATGAGATTTAAAAAATGTGAGGTAAAGGGCATGTTGTTGTTGTTGTTATGTGCCGTTGAGTCGGACCCGACTCACAGCAACCCCTCCTTGGGTTTCTGAGGCAGTATCACTACGGAAGTAGATTGCCCCACCTTCCTTCCGAGGAGTGGCTGGTGGGTTTGAACCGCCAGCCTTCTGGTTAGCAGTCAAGTGCTTTAGGCACTATGCTACCAGAGCTCCAAAGGCCATAGTTTCCCTTCATATTATTATGCAGTTTAGTTGAAGATAATGTAAAAGTTACTCATTTTTCTAAGCAACAGCATGCTGAATGCAACAATACACAAACATGTATTTCTTTTTTATATCTGTGAAGCATATCTTATATAATTCCAAACTTTAATTGTGAAAACACAGTAAATACAGCCTACTGGTGAAACTATCTCACTGACACTTTAACACTAACCTGCTAAATCCTGAAACAGAGATGAAGCCCCTATTGCCTGTCCACGATAAATTAAGCCACTGGACAAGAGTGCAACGAGCCTGTAGAAATTCCAAAGATGTGTCATTTAGCTTTGCCCAGTATGGTTGCAAGTTGAGGTGGATGTATTGGAGAGGATCACAGCAATGCTGGTTCAGTAGTTTGCAAGTCTGGGCTAATCTGCATAGGTCTGGTAGTGTAAGATGATTCAGAATCAGTTGAATGAGCTACATAAAACGGAGAAGACAAGATTACCAAGACTGAAAAACAAGTATCACTTTATTAAGCATATAAGATGGTCTAATAAAAAACAGTATTATATATTTTATAAAAATATTTTCACATAGATAATAAATCAACATTCAATAGAAGTATCCAAATGTGAAGAAATCATACATGCATAAGACTATACTGCATTTCAAAATTGCTCAAAGTGTACCCAGCTCATGTTGACTACTCGTTTTCTTGGGGTCCGAAGATATATCTTGGGAGATAATCTGCTGAATACATTTTTTAATAGACTCAGTATTTAGTGAATGACTACTACACACCAGAAACTGGTGATTGAAGAGTTCCCGCTCTCATTGCTTACAGCACAGTGGGGACTGGGAATTATAATGATTTGTTGTAACAGCTTTGATGGAGACAAACACAAACTGCAAATGGAGTCCAACAAAAGACACAGACTTAACCCCAAAGTTAAAGTGTACTTGTGCCAAAAGACTCAGTTTTAAAGGATGAGGGGTAACCAGGTGAAAGGTGAGACTACTGGCAAGGGATTGGCTTACTAAGGGATTTACAAAAGAGTTTGGATTTAGCCTGAAAACAATGAAGAGCCTTGAAGGGATTCACATTGCAGAGTGACATGGTCAGATCTGAGTCTTAGAAAGATTACTACAGGGGGCAACACTGGAGGTAGGAAGGCAGGAAGGAAAATCAGCCAGGACTACTGCAGAATCCAGGAAAGAGAAAAGGCCATTGGAAGTGATGACGGAGTAGCAAACAGATACAAAAAACATTAAGAAGAAAGATTTTTATCTCTAATTAAAACTGTTTCCTTGTACCAGTCCACAAGTTTTATCTTAATGGGTGAAAAGTTAGAGCCTTCTAAACTAGTTTTCAAAGGACTATTGCTAATAGCTGATTCTAAACAAACAAACAAAAGAAAACATATTTAGATGAACAAAGAAGTTGAGTTTTTTACTCACTTCTGTGTATTTAAACTAGCTATACTTTTTGGTTTGTAAATATGTTCTTTAATTTAAAGGTTCTTCTTCAATTCATTTCAATATTTAGGCTTGGTATTACTTTCATGTCATAATTTCACTCTTTTAAGTTTAAAGAATAAACATGAAATGATTTTTAAGATAATTTTAAAGAATGTTTCTCAACTAGTCCGAAGGACTAATGGAGCACATGAACCTCAGCCTCCATGACCTTGAGACTGAAAGAATCAGATGGAGCCAAGTACCACTACTGACCTCTCTGAAACAGATCACAGTAAGAGGTCCCAGACAGAGTAGGGAAAAATATGGAACAAAACTCAAAACTCATAAAACAAAAGACCAAACTTATTGGTCTGAAGAAGACTGGTGGAACCCCCAAGACTTTGGCCCTAGACACCGTTCTATCTAGGAACTGAACTTAACCCCTGTGACACAACTTTCAGCCAAGGAACAGACAGGCCTATAAGGTGAACAGTAATACCAAAAGGGTATGTACTCATTAGAAGAATCAAGCACATGTGATCGAGAGAACAGCACTTGTCCAGGGATAGAGCTAGGAAGCCAGGAGGGGATGGGAAGAATGGATAAAGGGAAAGGGTGGGTGCAGGCAAGAGGTGGGAAGAATGTTGTTACAGTGTATGGACTGCAGTAAATGTCACAAAACAGAGTTTGTATGGATTGTTGAATAGAAAACCAATTTGCTCTGGAAGCTTTCACCCACATTACAATTAAAAAAAAAAAAAAAAAGTATGTTTCTGAAATATGGGCATCAGCTGACAAATGTAACTCTTGAAATAGTAAAGTTTGGGGTGCTGTCGCAATTTATTTTTAACATTTGAACTAGGCTTTTAAAAAATAACATTAAGGTGTGTGTGTGTTGCTATATGCTTTAAAACAGGGAAAAATAAATAAAATTAAGTTAAAAAAATCAGTCCATATTCTCATCATCCAGATAATCCTGCTGACCTGTAAAATACTGCAGAAACAAAAATACAGGTAAAAAAAAATAGAAAACCCAAACATTTAAGAATGGTATAAAGACAAGTTTCTCCCTTTCTACTCTTGATCTACCAGACTCTCTCTCCAGAGATAACCACTGTTACCAACTTTTACAGTCCCTTCCAGATAAATGTGTATGAAATTCTACTCTTAAATTTGCACCCAAAATTACTGATACCATGTACACTGTTCTGTCCCTTGCTTTTCTCATTTAATGATGTATCTTGTAGATTATCCTGGATCTGCACATACAGACTCACCTATTGTATTTGTTAATATCTTGCATTCTTTTTCCTGTTGCAAACAATGTTGCAATATCATTTGTGTGCTATGTAAACATGCACATCTTTGCAAACTTTCGCCTATGTTCTTGGAGTAAATTCTCTATATTTATAAGATTTCATACACATGTAAAATTGCAATTCAAAATGTTTTTTCCACCAATTTATACATCCACAGACAATGTATGACAGTATTCATTCATCTGTATTCTAGGCATCACTGGTATCAAATCTTTAAATTTTGCCATTCTTAAAGGCAAAAAACAAAACAGAAACATAGTATGACACTGTTGTTTTATTTGCAGTTCTTTTTTTTTTTTTTTTCTTTCAAACTATAGAAATTAGCTCTTTGCCAAATGTTTCTTTTCTCCCTATTGGTATCTTTCTAGATTCTATTCTGTTCTATTTTTTTTTTTTCTCTCTCTCAATTATGTCTTCCATATCATTTGCTGTCTAGGTCAAATAAATATGCATTGTTCTAAACTTTTAAAAGTTTACGTGTTGGAATGTATTGAATTATTTGGTTGCAGATGAGAATCTCCCTTCATTGTCAACCCCCAAATACCAATATTGTAGCTTCATAGTATCTGACAGGACTAGTGCCCCTTCCACTGTTCTTCTTTCCCAGAATTTTCTTGGGTAGCAGACAACTAAAAGAGATGTTAATAAAGCATATTTGAAAATCAGAAATGTGTAAAAATTTGGATCTAGCTGTCATTTGTCAAGCAATTTTGAACTACTGAGATGAGGGTTTTTTCCTTTGACTTAGCACTACAGTATTATTATATAGATTTTTGAAAACACTTTTAATCCCAGGTATAAATTATTTTAAATATAAAAAATAAAAATTATTTCATTATTTTTAAAAAACAAGTCTATTTGATGTTACTTTGTTTATATTAATATTCATAGGTAAAACAGGTAATTTTATTTTGGTGTGCTATCTTAGTGTTTACAGTGGCTTCATAAAAAAGTGGAAAACTTTCCTCTTTATGTTACGAAAGAGTTTAAGTAATATAGGAATTATATGTTCCTTTAATGCTTAAAGAACATATGAACCATCTGAGCTTTGGCAGCAGTAAATTTTTACAGAATGAATTACAATTTTGTGATTTTTAACTATAATACTAAAAGTTATTTCAACAGAAATTTTTAAGCAATCAGTGCAAAGAAGCACTAAAAATCAGATCTATCCCTGCATCAGAGGATAAATAATTTACTTTTTCCAGATACTTTATAATATAAATAACACTAGCAACTTCTGGTATAGTTCCCAAAAGTTACTATATCAGAAGATATATATTGTGTGAAAACATTCTATGACACTTAATATTACATTTCAAGCAAATATCAAAATAGAAAAAAGAATAATGAAAAATCACTGAGACCATGACATTGATGTATGAAAAGTACTTTTGGATTTTATTAAATAAAAGATAACAGGTGTCAAGCCTACAAGATAATACTAGCTAATCATTACTCATCAAGTATCTAGTGTCTGTCAAAATATTGTCTTATATGGGGATATCCTAGCATAAAATGCCATTTGATACCATAATGAATATAGGATGTGATGTGTTAGGAAGGACTACCAAAACATCACTCTATTCAAAACCACTCTCCTGGTAATATAATTATTTTCAATAGTGGAAACATTGTATCACTTGACATTCACTTTTTTATTTCCTTTTAAATAATTTGGTTTACCTTCAAATCACCTTTTTTTAAAGAGTTTCTCTTTTTTGCTTACTGTGATCATTCAGTGTTTTGCAGCATTAACTCTTTATATGGTATTCTTTACACGTCCCTCTAGGACTATTGATTCTATCTCCTGGTTTCTTGTACGGGACTCTACTGCATTAATTTAACCCCTTGCATGTATTTCAAGCTTTTCCTCTTCACATCCTCTGTCCCTTAAGCATATACCATACTGAAATCGCTCCCAACTTGCATCCAAACAGAAACTTTCCCACTCTGCTGCATTCTCCACCACTCACCTTTTCTCTTTCTCTTTATAAGCAAATTAGAGCAGATCCTACCTATAATAATTTCATATTCTCCCTTATTTTGATATAATCTTTTTAGAGCCTAGCACAAAGTGGTGGAGCATTAGCCAGGATACCAAGGATTATTCTTATCAGTGGATAGTCTTATCCACATAAATTGGAGTACATTAACAGAAGTATTTTTCTATTTATAATCAGAAAGTAAACACTTCTTGGCTATGCCTTCCCTTCTCCTTAATGCCTTAACCAAGTATGGTAAGGCTGTTTCATCTCTATGGTCCTGGCTCCATTGAACTGATAATGGCAAAGGGCCATCAATGATCTCCAAATGTGGACACATCTAACTTTATTTTCTGTAGCAGTCAGTGTTGCTGACCACATCCTTTTTGCGTTTTCTGTACTTTCTTAGCTTCATATCACTTTGCTCTTAAGACTCTCACATCTTCTTCTATGTTATAATTCCAGTCTTGACCTTTTATTTTTATTCATTGGTAAAGTTCATCTACCATGGTTTCCTTACTGTCTTTTGAGTAGACTCACTCAGTCTAAATGAGAACTTTCTCTGAGTTTCAAACTCAAACAGCAACTACCCACTACCATCAACAGTAAGTTTGCTTTGATAAATCATGGGATCCTCAAAGTCAGTGTATCTTTCCCACACTCACACATTCATGCCTGTTTTATGATTAATGACATTCATCCACTCAGTTTCCAACTGGAAACCTAAAAGCCCCTCTCATTCTCTGCTGCGTCTTCACATTCAGTGGTTCACTTTGATTGAGCATCTTCTGGAAGGCTGGATGTTCCTCTCACTTCATCTTCTTCCCGAATCTCCCTATTTCTAAGGCTTCATCAAGTTTGGCCTAACTGGTGTTTCTGCCTCTTGCCCTGAACTACTCCTGGTTTATTCTCCATTTACCACCAGAGTAAAGACAGAAATCTCACTTTGCTACTCTCCTTCTTAAAACAGAATAAAATTAAATAAAATCATCAATATTTTCCCATTCTCTATAAAAAAGGTTCACAATCTTTTTTTATATCATGACACACATGAAAGAAAAAGTCCACATAAAGCCAAACATCTGCATGATTATTTTAATTTTAGGGCAAGGCATGTGCAAAAATGCCTGCATTTTATTTATAATCCCTGCGATACTACCTACCATTTCACATCTTTCTCTCCCACTCAAAAAGAGCATATTAGGAACACAAAAGAACACATGAAAGTGAGTATAAAATTATTATAACTCCAATATCTTGAATCCACTCTAATTTTTTTAACAAAAGTAAATTCTTTACATAGTCTAAATTATTTGTGATTGCTCCCAACTAATTCTGGAGGAACACAAGATTCCAAGGACCACTGGCTGAAGGGATAAAATGTAAACCTTATGGAAAAATCCACAGAACCCTTTATGATGCAGTCAATCATTGTCACCTATGTGAATAAGGTAGCCCTGAGTCTCCATTTAATTTTAGCTCATGCAGTTTCCCTTAGCAAATCCCATGGGTCATACTGAAGCACTGGAGTTACCAAACAGGTCATGTAGTTTCATTTTTTCTCACCTTTGTACATTCTCTTTCCTCTATCTGAAGTTCTCCTCAGTCATTCAACAAATATTCATTTGAATGTTATGTGTCAAGTATTGGGTTTCCAAGGCGGTAAATCTTTATGGAAGTAGATTGCCCCATCTTCCACCCATGGAGCAGCTAGTGGATTTGAACTGCCAACCTTCTGATTAGCAGTCAAATGCCTTAGGCACTGAGCCACCAGAGGACCTTTTTTTTTTTTTTTTAAATCAGGTCAGGATAAAATTTATAAACCACCTCAAATATATTTACTGAATTTAAACTTTCTATGAAAGTTTTGGGAAATGTGTACAAATCAGAGAATGGGATTTACTCTTCTTCAGATGAGCTACTCAAATTGCTGCCAGCACCAATCCTTCCTGAAGGAATATACTATCGATATCCCACACTCCTGTCTCTCCCCAACTCAACTCTCAACTCTTTCATCATTTTTCCTCCATCCTCACCATTAAGAGCCAGAGGGCTCTTGTCCAATCTGTGAAGCTTCCTTTCCATAACACAGAATGAGATTTAGAAGGCCTGGGTTGGGTCTCAAGTCCACGGCTGACTGACTGAATTACCCTGGACTCTTAAACTCATCTTTATGTGGCAACTTCAGCTAATTCACAGAATATACACTATGTAATGTTGTATAGATGTTATAGTTACTGATACTGTTGGGCACTAATAGATGACCAATTGTGCCTTGAAAATTAAGCTACTTATCTTATTACAATGAAACCTGAAATACCACTTTGGAAGGGGAATAGTCCAAACTGGTTAAAATCTAAGAGTAATTTTTCTTAAAAATAAATTTATTTATACTCTTTATAACCACATACAGTAGTCTTTCTCAGCCAAAGACAGAAATGCCGGCCTGCCCAAACCCCAGAGGTATTTGGAAACATGTGGGGAGTGGTTTTGGTTGTCACATGACTGGGATGCTACTGGTATTTAATGCCTGGGAATCAAGGATGAAAAATACATTGCAGAGTGCCCTTATAAAATGACATACTGAAAACAGAACTTCAAATTAAACATAAAAAAAGTCTGTCTAGACCAAAAAATATATAGTTAGTTAGAAGAATATATAAAAGAGTTAGTTGTTGTTGTTGTTATGTGCTATTGAGAAGGACCTGACTCATAGCCACTCCCTTGGGTTTCTGAGGCAATATCTCTACAGAAGTAGATTGCCCAACCTTCCTTCCAAGGAGTGGCCAGTGGGTTTGAACCATCAGCCTTCTGGTTAGCAGTCAAGTGCCTTAGGCACTATGCTACCAGAGCTGCTAGAATAGCGTTAGTATAGAAGAATAAACGAAACTTGAAGAAACTGTGGTCTACTAAGTGAAATAAGCATTCTTCTCACAATCTCATTAACACTCTTAATAGAAAATCATCCTTAATATAAGTGATATACAGTTAAGCATATATTGCTCATACTTATATAAGTATGAATTAGTTTATTGTTACTTACTATTGGTTTATTGTTAATTGTTGTTGCTAGTTGCTGTTGAGTCAGCTCCAGCTCCTGGCGATTCCACATGTGCGAGGAGAACTGCTCTAAAGGGTTTTCAAGGCTGTAACTCTTCAGAAGCACATCGCCAGGCCTGTCTTCTGAGGCAACTCTGGGTGGGTTTGCACCACCGATCTTTCAGCTAGTAGTCAAGCACTTTACCATTTGAGCTACCCAGGAACTCCTTACTGTTACTTGTTGTTGTTATGTGCCGTCGAGTCGGCCCCGACTCATAGCGACCCCTCCTTGGGTTTCCGAGGCAGTATCACTACAGAAGTAGGATTGCCCAACCTTCCTTCTGAGGAGTGGCTGGTGGGTTTGAACCGCCAGCCTTCTGGTTAGCAGTCAAGTGCTTTAACCACTATGCTACCAGAGCTCCTTACGTAGTGATACCAAAAAAACCAAACTCTCCATCATCAAGTCCATTCTGACTCATAGCAACCCCTACTGGGTTTCCAAGGCTGTAAATCTTTATGGAAGCAGACTGCCCCATCTCTCTTCCACAGAGAAGCTGGTGAGTTCAAATCACAGACCTTTTCGTTAGCAGCCAAATGCCTTAACCATAACACTACCAGAGCTCCTTCATTAGTGATAAAAGTAGTCATATATTTAGTAGTAGGAGCTCTGGTGCCTTAGTGCCTAAGGCACTAGACTGCTAACCAGAAAGCTGTGGTTCAAACCCACAGGCACTCCTCAGAACGAAGATTGGGCAATCTACTTCCATAGAGATACCGCCTTGGAGACCCATGGAGGGGTCGCTATGAGTCAGATCCAACTCGACGGCAGTGAGTTTGGTTTTTTTTTTTAATTTTATAGTACATCCAGAATCATTAAAGTTAATCCAAAATAAAAGAACTGAAATTACTTAACATAATTTTATCCAGTTTTTCAGAAATCAAAATACATTATGTATCAGATTGTACGTACCTTACCAATACTTCTATTCCTTTAATATCTAGCAAAATGACCATGAATATTTAAACAGCTTAAAATCTATAGTGTTATGTTCAATATTGCCACTAAGTATCTTTTGCTTACCTCATAAGGTAGTTTATCAAAATATCCATTATGTGGCCCTTCCCTGAGGGCAGCACTGCTAAACTTTTTGTTAAGATCATCCATTCCACAATCATCTTTTTCTTCATAATCATCATCATCTAGATCATTCATGTCAACAAGTGAAGTCTTGAAAGAAAGCACTGGCTTGTCCTTCATACCATGTAGCACAACTGCATCTAATTCAGTGTAATAATCCAGAAGAGAACTATTTACTTCCAGCCGTATAAGATTTGTGGGAAAATTTATCTGCTTAATACAAGGTTTAAACTGGCGAGCCTGGGAAGCGTTCACCTTCGTAGGTCTCTCTGACCAAAGAATCTCCCATCTGCCAAAGAAAAAAACTTCTCTATAACAGAGTTTAGAATGAGATCTACTATCAGAATAAAGTTATGACCCCATATCAATAAAGTACAAAGTGAACCAAAGGCACTAAATAAAGTAACTGGAATCATTTTCAAGATATGAAATATTTAAAAAACTAAACGCCATAGACCTTATTACTAAAATTATTTCTTGAACTCCCTAGATTTTTGCAGATTTCATATTGGCCATTTTAAAACTGTAATCAGTAGTTGTTGTTATTGTTGTTATGTGCTGTCGAGTCGGACCTGACTCATAGTGACCCCTCCTTGGGTTTCCGAGGCAGTATCACTATGGAAGTAGATTGCCCATCTTCCTTCTGAGGAGTGGTTGGTGGGTTTGAACCGCCAGCCTTCTGGTTAGCAGTCAAGTGCTTTAGGCACTATGCTACCAGTGAGAGGTCCTTGAAGAACAGCACTCAGTTTCAGAGTAAGGATAAAGCATACAAGATAAAAATCGCCCATTGTGGAAACTGAACCAATCATCTTGCCTCACAAAGGTCGCCTTTTCTTTTTCTGTTACTGGCTTCATACTCAAAACTTTCATGTTGTCTTTGATTATCTCTTTTTATCATCAATAAGGTCTGTCAAATTTTTTGATCAAATTGTCTCTTATTTATATGCTTTTAAATTACACCTGTTGTATTTTATTGTGATGTTTTAGTCATCCTTGTTCTGTAGCACCTAGCAAGTATATAATATATAGTAAGTGAATCATATTTTCTATTGCTTCTCCAAATGAACTAATCTCCATTTTCCATCCAGACTAATCATTACTTTTCATACAATAAATAAATTCAAACTTTGTTTTTACTTATCCTTCTATTACTACTGCAAAATGACATCAGAGGACATTAGAAGAATGTCTCACATCTAAGAAACAAGGTACACTTAGGACACTGCAAAATAAGTGCCTATACTGATTCACAACACATGTGGACTCAACCAGTCTATTTTATCGTTTAGCTTCTATTAAGAGTTTTTGTAAGAACTAATACAAAGTTGAAAATGTAATATTCAATAAATAAACATGCAAACAAGACATGTAATTCAGGGTTCCGGCAAGATGGCGGACTAGGCCGAAAGACTGCACAGACCCTCTTCAACAAAGAAAAGG